GAAGGAAGGAAGGAAGGAAGGAAGGAAGGAAGAGAAAAGAAGAGAAAAGGAAAAAAGAAAAGAAAAGAACAAAGAAAAGAGGGAGGGATGGGGAGGGAAAGGGGAAATGGAGGTCAAAAACTCAGTTTCAGTTGGGTGGGCAGTCCTGTTCACCATTGCTGGAGGCCAATCCTTTCTACTCTGAATAAAATGTCAAAGTAACAATAAACAGAGAGAAAATCAACTTGTTATTCTACATCTACAGAAGTCTTTGCCTAAGCATTCTTATCTAGTTGATAAGCATATGTAAATAGATGTGTAGGTTAATTTTCAGCCCTCTAGGACTGTCAAATACAGACAGATTTCATCAGCACAAGTAGACGGCAGTCTGACCACTAGCCATAAACACAGAGTACAAGAGTCTATGTTTGGTGCAGAAATGTAAAGGTGTGACTGGAGAAATGAGTCTAATGATTTAAGTACATAATATCTTCCACAACTGATTTCTTACCTTTATTTCCAACCTCATCTCCGTCATCCACCCTACAGAACTCCTTCATTCCAGCCACCTACTCTTTTTATTACTGCACACACAGGCTTGATTTCTCAGGCAGAGTGTCTGGAACTATCAATCGCCTCAAAATCAAGTTCATGATCCCTGGGTCTAAACCTCTTGGGCTAGACTTTCTAACACTGGCCTCTATTTGTCCTGTCCCTACAACCTCCCAGTACCACTGGCCTTGGGGTCAGAAGAAATGGATCCCAATGCAGATCTTATCATATCATCTTATGACTGAGACTGTCTCATTTGAGGCTAATTTTCCTCACAAGCAAAATGAGAGAACTTCACTACATCATTGCAAGTCTCTTCCAGCATGTTTCACGATCCTAATTCTTACCGTAATTGTTTCAACAATTCTAGGCCACTAGCGATGGCGGTTTCCTATCTCCACATAAAAGAACAAGGGTAGAGTGAGAGCCAGAGCTGCTACCAGTGTGGTCTGCTTCCCGGTTGGCCCCTGAGCTCCCAGAGAGCTGTGCAGTTAGTTACGTGGTAGAGAAGACACCACAGGCACACACATTAGGGATTCCTTACAAGAGTTTTTCCACTCCTGGTGGAGGTCTGACAACCAGCAAGACATGCCGATGCATAGGTGATTCCATTTTCACCACACACAGGGTCCCATTTTGTCTCTGAACATTTGCATCTTGAGTTGCAATCTGAAAAGAGAGCTCGTTCATGATAAGAGACAGGTTTGGTTCTGAAAAGAAATGCAACAGTATAAAATATTACCTCTTAGCAGGCAGCACCCTAATATCTTCAAAAAACAGTGTTCTTGAGTAATATAAATGGCAGTGCCAACGGAGTTTGCCTTTTGGAAACACAACTGTCATCAGAAATGCCAGTTTCTGATTATTAATGTGAGTCTACTATTAAGAAGCTTTCTCTTGAAAGTTATCTTTAGAGGTTTACACCTTCACATAATGTCCAGTTCTTGGTTTATGGTTTTAACTAAAATTGACCATCTCTAGGATCTTCTAATACATTTCTATGCAAAGATGTAGGAAAGTGGCTAACAAAGCAGAAAAGTAAACTTCTAGAGCAACTAATGACATTACTTAAATGCATTGCAGGCAGTGTGTACATGCACATGCGTGCTTGTGTGTAAATTTCCTTCACAATTGTCTCGGCATCAGTAGAATAGGCATTGCTGATGGTGCAGTAAAAGAAAGAAAACAGTCAAATAGTCAACATTATGTCAACAGACCTCAGTTTGGAAGAGCTACCCATCCTATTTGTGTGTCTTACTAATAAATGCATTGCCAGTTCATCTAACTTTTCTCTGTCTCAAAATCTCCCACTCTATGCAGCTCTTCCATATCTCAGGTCATTCTTTCTGATTCTCTTGCACATGCTTTTTCAATGACTTACCCATTCATTTGTTCATGTGTTCAAAAATTTTGTGGAAGCCTTCTAAGTGCTAGCTTTGGGAGGAGAGAAGATAGTTACAAATATGAATGAGACAATATTTGCCCTTAAGGAGTTGGCTTTCTGCTCTAACAGTTAACTTTACATAATTTTGATGGTCTTCTCTCTTTTCTCTCCCTCCCTGTCATTCTGTCTTACCGTCCCCCTTTATCGCTCCCAGAATTCCTTCTCTTTCCCTTCTATTTCTTCCCCTCACCTGAATGACCTCATCCTTCTACTTTTATTCTCCTTGTTCTTTTCATATTCTTTTATCCTTTTCAGGGCGTACTTATGCAATGGTATTTCTCTTCTACCTGTACCTTATTTTTCATCCCTTGCACTCCATCATTTTTTTTCTCTATTATTTCGATTTACTTGCTTATTCTCCTCCTCTCTCTCTCTCTCTTTTTTTTTTTTTTACGAAAGCATTTGAAGGACTTAAAACTGAAACAATAACAAACCCCATGTGCATGGTCATGTACACTCAGTGAGGGCAGGAACTATTTGTTTTATTCACTCCTGGGTCTCCAGCACCAAGAACAATTAGGGACATACTAGGTTAAGAAACAAGATTTCTGGTAAGTCAATCAAAGTAAAACGCTATTTTATTTTGAAGGAAAATAAATTTTGGGCCCTCTTTCTAAGATGTATGTCCTATAATGATTGCAATTATAATTTCTTAATCGTTGGAATATTCCATCTAGTAGAACTGCTATGCATTTGGTTACCTCAAACATAAAAGCCACTGAGATGTCTCCAGACAGAATAAAAGGATATAACTAGGCCTCCTGAGAAGTCATACAGGAGTATTTCATCCTGTTCTCTTCTGTAAGTCACTAATTGTTAAATTAATTGAGACTGTTTGGTAGTATCTGAAAGTATAAATAAGTGCCTTTGAAAGCCTAGAATCAGGCCACTATGGATAGTGTAGGACTGGGATCTCAGAGGTTACTGTTGAAAGAATTCTGGGGGAGATCGAGGCCAATTCTCATTTGGCAGATCAGGAAAGTCAGGTCCAAAGTGGGCAAATTACTGGCTCAAATTCACAAGGCTTATTAGTAACAAACTTCAAAATGAGAATTCTTCCAGGCCCCTGGATTCTAAATTTCTTTTCTCACATCAAACTTACTCTCATTATTGCAGAAGAAAGGTTTCTTCCATTACCATATCTAAAGCTGTCTACAGGGTTCCTGTTGAATGTCCAGAATCAAAACAGCTCAGGATAATCCCTGGGGAGCATGTTGTATTCTATAAAGCCAATTATTTTATATTACTAAAAGTAAGTTAAATTTATCATCTAGGGCTATCTTGAAGCAGAAATTAATTGCATATATGTTTTACAAAGGATGTGTTGGCAGAGTTATTTAAAATTTTAAGATAATTTTTATCAAATATGTCAGAATATTTATACTCAAATGGGATTGTGCTTTCAAAAGAGTCATGCTGGGACGCAAGAGCTTTTTCCAGGGATATTGCCATTTCTTTGGCTGCTTCCAATAGCAAAGCTACCCTTAAAGGTTAAATCTTTGCCATTGTTGGGAATATTCTGAAAAACATGGAAAGCGATTTCAAAAGAGGAGTTTTAGAATGTTTTAGATGATGAAAGCATTATTGCAATGCAGTTGTAGTCTTTTAGGGCAACTGCTTTCAAGGGCTAGTACTCATGCAATGAATATCTTATCTTTTATTTGTTTAAAAATATTTAATCATTTATTGTGTGGGTAAACTTTTAATGAACCTCAAAACTTTGCCATTGTTGTCCGTTTATGTGTTTGCTTTTGGCTTAGAGACACCACGATGTTGTAGAAAGAATATTATACTTTGAAGAGGTAATTGACCTTTCTAACCTCAGTTTCCTTTAAATGAGGTTAACAAAACTTAACTCACAAAGATGCTTTGAGGATACAAGTGAGATAATGAAAGTTATGGTGTTTTGTAAATTGCAAAATACAAAGAATTTTACCACTGTCCGTCTACCATTAGGATCATAGGGCCAATTAAAGACAGCATAGGGCTTCTACTCTCTCCAGAATCTTCTTGGAATTCCTGCTTACAACTGACGTCCTTAATCCACATTGCTGACTGTTAGCAATGTTACTACGCTCAGTTAACTGGTAACTGGTAACTGCTTCTGGTAACTCCCAGAAGCAACAGTATATAAACTTCTCAGTCACTAGTTTTCTTGGACTTTTTAGAAGGTAAAAAGTATAACTGATATTCACTTAAGAGCAGGAGAAACCAGGTTACTGAGGGTGATGGAGACTGGACTATGGGAACAAGACAGATAGGTAAGCATGGAAGGAAGCCCAGGAAGAAAGCTGGAGAGCAAGCGCCAAATAAGCAGCAGCTAAACTAACAGAAACAGATCATTAGATCAGGAGCACTGGCCTTTGAGCCATAGGCAGAGTTTGGACAGTCAGGCGGTGCAGTCAGTGTGGTTGGCCTGGCTCACAGTAGTGGCTCGATGATTAATTTAAACAGATAATATATAGTTGGGTGGAAGAATGAAGACAGCTGTGTTTGGGAACTCATGTTCAGAGGTAGAGAGATGGCAAGGACTCCTGAAAGGAAAAGACAGGGTAGTTCCTTCAAGATCCAGCTTTGTATTAAGATTGACAGATCCTGGAACCTAAGAAAACTAGTCATCCACCCCATACGAGATGGCATAGGTCTGAAAACATCAATAAATATTCCCCTGACCAGCTGCAAAGAGTAAAGAGAGCTGTTGTGTGGCTCACCAGCTGAGGAATAGCTTTCTCTCCTGAAACTTCACATGACTTGAGTACAACAGAGACTACAGAACGTAGCACAGAGACCTTTCCAGTTATCCAAGGGTTCAAAGAAAAAAAATACAATTGTTTACAAATGGCACATTTCTTTTGTGCCAGGAAAGTACTAATGACTTCCATGTATATTATCTTGGTTAAATCTTACAACATTTTATGAGGTAGTTATTATTCTTATTTTTTAAAGTGGAAAAATTTGAGGTTTGATTAGATTAAATGACCTATACAAAGTCACTTCATTAATGATGGACAGAGGCAAGATTCAAGGTCTGTGTTTTCCACTGGCAGGTTGCCTTATATAAGGAAGATATAGATGTAATATTTTTAATAATTTCTCTTAGACAACCAAATTCAAAGGAGATGACAGATTTTGGTGACACTAACAGCTCCCATGTCAAAGTACTGTCAGCTATTCCACAATAAAACTATAATTCCTTTCTCATATTTATGATGTTTACAATCAAATTATCTTATTTTGAAACTCTATCAATAATTAATTTGATTAAACAAGCCAATCTCCTCAGAGTACTTAATGAGTGAACCTACCCTTGGTAGGAGACAGTTAGTCCTGCCACATCAGAATTTTCACAGCCCAGTGCAAACAGGGAAAGGAATAGGAGGTACCCAAGAACAGATGATCCCAAGTAGAGTTTTGCAGCTCCATATACACTGATTCTGAATTTTTTCATAACTATCCCCCCAGAGAATATTCCAAAGGCCACTGCAGGTATGTTGATGAGCCCTGAGGAACAACAATAACAACAATAAAAAAATATATATATATATATCATTTTGTGAATCTCTAAAAGAAATCTGAGTGTACTGACATAAACTTTCTAAGAGATTATACAAAACTATATAATAGTTCCTGACAAGTTATTAGACTGGTTGGTCATTTTAAGTTATAGAAATATTAATTCACTATTATCTACTGGCATATCAAGAGATTTTGATGAGTGTCCAGGTTATAGATTAATGATAGCACAACTGAGAGTCTCAGAAGTCTGCCTAACTTGTCTAGCACAGAGTTTAAAATCAATAAACACTGAATTAATCAATGAGTCAATGTCTTTCTGGTCTAATCCCAGGATTAACAGGTACAAGCATGGGGCAACTAGGGGATAGTTAACATTCTTTAAGTTTGTGTATAAGAGAATAATAGATATATGGAATTCAGGGAACAAAAACACAGTTTTCTTTTTTCTAGCCCAAACAAAATTAATTTTTTTTAGAGTCTTAGTTGCTTAGTTTGGTATCTTTCCTAACAACCACAACAACAAAACAACAATAACAAAACAATGTATTATTTGACTCTTTTTGTATTTACTAATTGCTTATAATGTACTAACCACTCAGGTAAGCATTTGATATATCGCTCACATTTATCCTTCACCGCAACCCTAGTAGATAGCCATATTGTTATTTTCACTTCAGACAGCAATTTATTCATGGTCATAGTAAGTGTTAAAACCAGATTTGACAATGTAGAGTTGATGTCAAATCTCACGCTTTTTTTTTTTTTAAGATTTTATTTATTTGACAGAGAGAGACACAGCGGGAGAGGGAACACAAGCAGGGGCAGAGGGCAAGGGAGAAGCATACTCCCTGCTGAGCAAGGAGCCCGATGCGGGGCTCCATCCCAGGACCCTAGGATCATGACCTGAGCTGAAGGCAAGCGCTTAACGACTGAGCCACCCAGTTGCCCCAAATCTCATGCTTTCAATCACTACATTATACTGTCTCTCCACCAAAGAGTTTGGAACACAGGATTCTTGATAAATAGATGTGCGAGCTCACTAATAATCAAATAAATGTGATTTTAAAACAACACTAGGAAGAGATCCAACAAAGTGGTTGAGAGCTTGGACTCTAGAGACCTAAATGCCTGGTTTGGACCTCAGTCCCACACGTTAATAGCTGCGCAATGGCAGGTGATTCTCTGAATTTCTATAAACCTGTCTCCTTACCTATAATATGGAGCAAAAATAGTGCTGAGGTGACTAACATGAAAAGTTCCTAGCACAATATAAGCACAAAAATATCATTCAATTAAGTTGTTACCAGCATTTCATTCTGTCAGACTCACAAAGGTGAAAATATTAGGATGGGTAAATGGAGTGGAACATGTCCGTGTTAGAAAAGGTGGGAAAAGTGGCTCTTTGGTGACTTCTTGGTTAGATTCTAAATTGGTAAATGTTAAAATTAAAATGATCACATTAGAAATCAGAGGAACCATGAGAGACTGTGGACTCTGAGAAACAAACTGAGGGTTCTAGAGGGGAGGAGGGTGGGGGGATGGGTTAGCCTGGCGATGGGTATTAAGGAGGGCACGTATTGAATGGAGCACTGGGCGTTATACGCAAACAATGAATCATGGAACACTACATAAAAAATTAATTAATGTAAAAAATATTATAAAGAACAAACAGTAAAAAGAAAAGAAAAAGAATCAACCCACCTTGAAGGGGGCAAGATCACAAAATTGGTGAAATTAAAAAAAAAAAAAGAGGAGGTGCTAGTTTTTTCTTTCCCAGCTAAACTGAGGTTTGTGGCTGTAGCAAGTGGCAGAGATGAATGTATCCTGGGCCCCTAAAGAGCCAAATGTCAAATAAGAGGAACCTGATTATTATTTATTTTTAAAAAGAGAGCATATAATGGAAAATAATATAACAAACTTGGTTTCTCATGACCCAAGTTAATAAATGCTAATATTTTCTCCCAATTTTTCTGATTTTTAAATATGGAGATATATAAGACAGATTCCTTCTCTGTTCCGGATTCCATCTTCCTTCTCAAGAACTAACCATTGCCATGGGTTTGATGTGTGTCATTTAAGTCCCTATTTTTACATACACATATTCATAGTACTTGACTTTGAATCCCCCTCTCATAGACCCAAGACTTACACAAAAAGGGCAGAGTCTTATTCTCTCTTTCAATTCTATCTCCCAAAAGAGGTTTATAAAAAAACACATCTTCTGAAAACTAGGTTCTAAATTGAAACCTTGAGAGAATGTGCTTAGAATTTCATTTATTTGTAAAGTACCAATCCAAACCTGGGACATAAGGAGTCATAGCATAAAGGATACCCTTTGATACCCTTTGTAACTTCATGCTGTGTGGGTTTCCACTAACATTTCCCCGCACTGATCTGGCCTAGAAGAGCCTGAGAATCAAAATGGGATGATTCTATGGGTATTTCTCCCTCAGTACAGAATGTTAAAAATCAGGAATATCCTCTCTTGACTGATCTCCTCTTAGAGGCCTGTGTTCTCTTGAAACTTCCAGAAAGTTTCATGTATTCTCTTGCCTCCAGCCCCTTCTACACAAGATATCTGCTTCATCTGACCAACATCCTTTCAAAACCCCACCCTAGTTTCTACATTTTCATCTTTTAACACCTCCTTATTCTTTTGCTTTTGATTTAGGTATTGACATCTTCTCCTAGAAGATTTTCTTCTGACTCCAAGATAAGGTTTGTTCTCCCAGAGTTCTCCGGACTTCTCATAATTAGAGACTTCTCACAGCCTCCACCAGCTGTATGGTGCCTCCAGGGACATCTCTAGCATCAGGGTGCACAAGTTGGTCATCAGAAGCCCCTTTCCTCCTCCCTCCGCCTCTGGCCCTTGTACAGGGTCCCATAGGCCGCAGTCTTGGTCCTTGTCACAATTATCTGTTAGCTTATCCGGTTTGCACCCCTCACCTTCCAAGCTCACCTTCAAAGCAAAAACTGTGCTCACCATTATATCCTGCGCTTCTTGCAGTTTTCCACAAAAATGTGCTAAACAACTAAACTTAATTTATCCATGTATAACATTTCACCTGGATATTTTACTTTCCTATTTCAAGATAAATGAATTATAACATGATTCTGTAGAACAGTAGTAGTACATTTCAAATATACTGTCAGCTTGATTCCCCCTTTCAAATTCCCTAGGATCTGTAAGCTATCTATGCTGGGCCAAGTTGAGTTGATAGCAGATTTCCTAAACATCCAATAATGTTTCCTCCCAAAGCTTCTCTTCTTTCACCTGAGGTACTTTTAAGTCAGCTAATGAAGTAGAAATTTCACTCTGATTTCTTCATTACACACTTTTTTCACTCACACCATAAAATGTGCTGATCTTAAAACGTTTACCATTTAATATTCCAAATGGAAATACCAGTTGTAATTTACACCAGCATCCACAATTTGTTTCAATTTACTTTATGTACTTCTTTTGAATTTAATATATTTACTCAAATAACAGGAAAGCTAGGAGAAATTTAAGAGCAAATATGTTGTTGTTACTTCCGTATACTCATTCAAGCTGAATATCTTATTCTTTGTTACTGTTCGAAACAGGAGTTATGAGACTTGTGTAAAATATTTTAAGATGGACAGCACAGTTACAATATAATTTGGGAACTCTGATTCCCATAAAAATGTATGATAGCCTTAGTCATTAAAATGAAATAGTAATAAGTTATAATAATAATAGTACTTTGGGATGTACTTAGAGCTTTTCTCCAGCAAAGAAAAATTCTGTAATATATAATGGACCTTCACAATATTACACTAATGTTAGAAGATATAAATATTAAGATTTGAATTTGACAGAGAGAGAAATACAAGGAAAAATTTATGGGACTTTTCACACTCATGTAGCCAATTGGGTGTAGACAAAAAGAAGTATACTTAGCCATCTTTCTTGGGTATAATGAAAGTATTTTTTTCCTCACAAACTAAGATTGTTTTCCATTATCTCACAGATTTTTAATATAACTTAATAAACTTGACCTAATTCTAGAACACATCATAAAACATATTTAATTTGGTCTGCTAGCTTAGCCACAAAAATTAGTGTTTTCTATTAATAAGCAACTTTCCCCAAATAATTATCATAACTTTTCCTTATTTGTAACTTCTCCAAGAATGGAGAATGATAATCATTGCTGTCAATGAGAGTCAATGTCAATGTATCATGTCCACTAGGTATTGTCTTATTTAATAAAAAAAAAAACTCCAAGAAATTAAGAGAAATGACTAAATAATTGCAATCTGTGTATTAAGAAGGAAACAAAACATAAGATCATTTTCACATAACTTAACAGTGATAGAAGAAGCTTTAAAAAAGGAGAAAAACTCAGCTATCTAAACTTCATCCGGAAATTGCAATGGGGAAAATAAAAACCCACACACTCAAAAAAGCAAAATCATTTTGCCATATGCCTCCTAGTCCCTGAATTTGAAACATTTTTGTTGCTTATTTTTCTTTAATTTTCTTTGCAAAATTAAAGTAACTAACATGAGAAAATATTATTTCTTAACTTTAGAAATATGGCCAACATAGCAAAACATGTACAGCAAAAATAAATCATCATTTTAACAACTGGCCCTTGAACACAAGGAAAATTTCTGTTTATGCTTTCCACCATGTCATGTCAAATGTCTTCTCTGAGAGCAGAGGGGAAATGTGCTTTCTTCGTGTTTCTCTCCCTTATTTCATCACGGAAAGGATCATTCTTTGTGGCCTCCCCCACCTTACCCCCAAAAAAATGAAGGAGAAAAGAGAGAGAAGTATGATAGAAGAAGAGAAAGAAGTGAGAGAACAGTATTTATTGAATGACAGCTGTATACATTTACAATGTATTTTATAGGTCTTATTTAATCTCTATTTTAACCTAATGATGCATTTGTTTTCACCATTCTAAAGATAAGCAAAATAAGTGTTATGGATATTGACTCATTTTCCTACTTACTCTTACTGTGCTTTTTTTCCATACTTAATTAATGTGAAACCAAGATACATTCAGGAAAGAATCCTAGCTATAATGATTGAAATCATTAGACACTATTACTTATCTCTCACAAAAGCACTTGAATTATCCATAGACATGACATGATAGAAATTATGAGGAATCAGAATTTTAGGCAAACTTTGATAGAGGAGTCAAAAAATTCTGATTTTTTTAAAAGAAATCAACTGCCCACAACTTAAAAAAGAATTATTAGATTCTTTTTGTCAGTTTTCCAAAAATAATTATGTCCGGAGAGGAAATATAACTCAGGGGAAATAATTTTATTCCTGGCTACATCATAATGTATATATGCAATTAGGCAGGCCACTGAATCTCTCAGAATTTCAAGTTCTTTCATCTGTGCTAATTTTCCTTAAGAATAATTTTATTGGCAAAAGTATTTCATTTATTATCTACCCAATAAAGGAATGAGATTACATATAATCTCATTTTCTATTATAAATATCTTTCCCCAAACAATGCTTAATTTTCCTTTATGAAATAAATGTTTTTAATTTGAAATTAAAAATGTATTTATCATTCTAGTGACACCAAAATCAAATGCCCTCAAACTCTGTTATGCACATGTTGAATAATAAAAAATAAACATACACTTAAAGATGTGTCACTTCATTGCAATTCATGGGGGAAAAGATGGCTTTTTCATTTTGATAAATGAACTTGACCTTTTCCTTCACATTATACTAAAAAAAAATTTTGAAATGTATGATAATCAGAGTTACCTGGGTGGTTCAGTCAGTTAAGCATCTGCTTTCCACTGGGGTCATGATCCCAGGGTCCTGGGATACAACTCTGCATCCAGCTCCCTGCTTAGTGAGGGATCTGCTTCTCCCTCTCCCTCTCCCTCTTCCCTTCCCCCTGCTTGTGCTCTCTCTCTCTCTCAAATAAATAAAATCTTTAAAAACAAGACACTACCTGAAATGTATTATAACCTAAATGTGAAAGTTAAAACACTTAGGCTACTAGTAGAAATATTAGGAAAACATTTTCATGGCCTTCGGTTTTGACAATTTCTTAAAACAGGGAATAAGATAGCACTAATGAGAAAGAAAAAGACTGGAAAATGGACTTGCTTAAAAATAAGCAGCTTACCATTAGGACAGTGAAAAGAAGAACTGAAGTCTGTGAGAAAATAGTTACAATACATATATTCAATAAAGAACTTGTATCATGAAAAAAGTACCTACCCCTACAAATCAATAAAAAAAGAGACAGCTCAAGAGAAACAGGCAAACAATTTGAACATAACTGACAAAAGAGAATGTTAAAGTAACCATAAGCCTGCAAAAAAGCGCTCAACATCATTAGTTATCAGTTAAATGCAAATAAACTATAAGATATCACCACACTCCATAAGAAGGGTTACAGTAAAAAAGACCGACAATACTAAGTGTGATAGGGATGTGGAGCAACTGGAAAGTTCTTATACTTCTAGTGTGAGTATAAATTTACAGAATCCTATTGTAAATGTTTTGGTTATATTTACTGGATCTAAACATACATACTTCCTATGGCCCAGCAATTCTGCTCCAAGATACAGCCAAGAAAAACATTGTGTATACAACCACCAAAATACATATAGAATGGTCATGCAGTGTTATTTATAATAGTCAAAAGCAGAAAACAACCCAAATGCCCACCAACAATAAAATGAATAAACTGTGGTATATTCATGTGATAGGATATGACACAGCAACGGAACAGGTCAAACTGTTACACACAACATGAATGAATCTCATAGATTTCACTTTGATTGAAATAAGCTAGATACAAAAGAGTACATAGCATACTATTCCATTTGTATAAAGTTCAAAAACCAGCAAGGCTGACCTGTGATGACAAAGTTCAGGATAATTATTAGCATTAGGAAAGTGTATGGAACAGGAGGAGGTTTGAGGGAGCCCTCTGTGGTTCTGAAATGAGTTCCATGTTCCAGCTGATAGTTACTATACGGATTTTTGTGTAAACATTTATCTAGCTGAGCTACACATTTAGGGGCTGCAGAGTTAACTATTGTTTGTAAGTTATAGCTCAATAAACACAAAGGAGATTTTGAAATAAAATAAAAAGAATGTCTCCTAAGCTTTTATTTCTCTTCTATTCTTATTAAAGTCAGTATAAAGCACTGATTGGCATGGAGGGGGTTTTGGGGAAATAAAACCTAAAATGTTTCTTCAGGTAAACCATTAAATCATACAATTAAATCAATCTGAACCAATTAATGTTGAAAGTAAAAGTTGAGTGGTATAGCTTTAATATTTATATTTTAACAGAATAGTCTGAACAGTCAATTAAATTAGCACCTACTAAGTATCCATTATCCAGGATTCTTACAGGACAATTACAGATTCTGAAATAAGCTCAGAGGCGTCTTTCAGAGATAGAGAAATAGAACAATTTTAAAATATTTTATGAAGAAGAAATGTTTTTTAAATCTTTGGATTTTCCTACCATTAAGGAATATGTCCCAAGGAATAAAATATGCCTTTAAACAGAAGCATTAAATGATGTTCTCATGAACTAATGGAGCTAATCCAGGTTTTAAAAGTATCTAATTACTTGGAGCATGATGTTCATGTATTTGCACATTCTGGTTCTTCATTCATTTCTTCATGCTTTTCTTTGCCCTTCAATAGCTTTTTCATTGTTGACTGATCTGCTATGCTAGAAACACAGCCCTTTTAAATAACCTGAATGCCAGGACTGAGGAAAGTCCTTTAACTCTGAGCAAAAACAAACTTTGTTTTGCAATGAACACCTTTTAACCTCTCCAAATACTCACTTTTTATAATCTTAGAAACTGTTCAGGTAAAATGGCCACTGTTAGGAAGTTTTGGCTACACTTGAAAGACACATACCCAGTATCACAATCTCCTAATAAAATGCACGTTCAGTTTACGTAATATTCTTAAGGTCACTCATTTACAGTTGTGAATAATTCTTGCTGCAAAATTGTACCACAGACAACCTGAGTATTTTAACTGGATTTTTTTCACTCTGCTAGATTTTTTTCACTCACTTTTTGACTTCATATCTAAAATGTTGTAAATCACCTTCAGTCTAAACATGAGAATGCCTAAATGCCTAAGGGTTAACAAGATGCAGCTGATAGTGCCTACTGGCAAGTGTGAAGGACAGGTGAACATACCGATAACAAAGTTGGCCTTAGAGGATGACTGCCCATACTGCTGCTCAATGTACTTGGGTTTATAGGTCACCATTCCAAACAAAGAATTGAACTGAACGGTGCTGGCACACAAATATAACAAGTACAGTGGATTTCCAAAGAGATTCTTCAGTGATGGAAGAAAATCTATAAGACAAAAATAACATGGAGTAATTAAAGACAGCATTACACTTAGCAGAAGACACAGCCTTGGCACCAGGGCATAGCTGGCCGAGTCCCACAGCCACGGTTATAGCATGGTGCCCATATACACTATGGATATGAAGCATTGGCACAAGTCAAGGCTGAGATCTGTCAGGTTCATATCTAGACACAGGCACTCGTTTCTACAGGCATATAATTTAGATTACAGTTAGATGTATAAGTCAGACAGGAACACGTTCCTCCCAATGATATGGGTAGAAGGAAAGAGGGACAAGAACACTCTCTCCCTACGGAGCTGAAAGTCATTGGTAGGACATCTAGAACTTCAGTTTTCTGGTCTCTCCTCTTCAAACTTGCATCATGGTCACAGAGAAAGAACCATGAACATTATCTCCATTTAATTTAATGAACTTAATATAAGAAATGAGCTTTGGCATTCTCCCTTCTTCCTATTATGCAGCTGAAGAGTTTGAAATGTGAAGATTTTTCCGTAAATATTGCTTGCTGGGCCCAACTGAGGGGGACCAATCTGTCTCATGGCCACTCTTTTTCCATGTGAAAGGAATTCACATTAACATGTCTGGCCTTGTGCCCTGCACCACACTCACTCCTTTGATCAATAGTGGGAAACATGCACCGACATATTTGTCGAATGACTGAATCTCATCTGTTAAAAGGCCACAAGCTCTGAAGATTCACTCTTTTCTGTCCACCCAGACTGATGCGAAGCAGCAATCCCAGATAGGAGCCATTGCCATGTCTAACCTGTAGTAGTGTAAGGGTGGGATTGTCAGCAAGGAAGGTTACTAAAACTTTGGGTCATGATCTTTAATCCCTCTCCAGTAATAAAGCTGACTTTGTAATCTTCCATTCTGCTTCCTGTATAGTTTCTCAATTTTTCTGAACAAATGATGGGGAGAGAGGGTATTATTTATAGATTCCTTACAGACTCTCAACAGGAAAACTGAAAGTGCTTCAAAATCAAGGAGAATCTGGCTCACCTCTTGCCATTTCCATTATTTTTGACTTTTCTCCAAGGGGTGTTTGGTAGTCTGTATGATCATCCATAATAAACTTGAATTTTTCAGAGGAGGAATTGGAATCCTCTCTACTTCGGGGTCTCGGCAGACTCTTTGGTAAACACCAGAAAGGCAGAGCTGCAAGAAGACTTACAATTCCTGCTATTAGGTAACCCAGCCACCAGGCTCCTACCCACTGGGGATCCTTTGGAGTAATGGTTACATGATCTGAAAGACAGAGGGGATGGCTAAATAGCATATACAGCAAAGCCAGTGAGTTGAAATAAGCTTATTTTTTAAAAAATCCTAGCATCAGCTCTATCACATCATAAAAATACCTAATAATTGATGCATGATAACTTTCTAGTCTGAATATTATCATCATCTTGCTTTTTGAAGGAAACATGGTGCTTTTTTTTCTGGAACATGATGCTTTTCTTCATTTGTTCCTTAGATTTAAAATATAGAGTCTAAATCCTGGGGGAGGGGGGTCTTACTTTGCCCTGGGGTTCTGCAGAGGGACCCCCTGGCCCATGACAGGAAGCAAGCACCCTATGAGGGAGAATTATGGGGGCTCCAAGCCTTCTGCCAACTCCCCCACATTAGCACCGCTTGCATCTGGCCCACATATTGAATGTCTGTCCAAGATTTTTCTCAAAGAAAGAGTTATATCCTACACCCTCTGGTCCCAATCTAGTCTAAAACACTCAGAATGTTAGTCACTAAATGACAGTAATACTTCAGAGCTAATCTAGGTCTGAAGCAAGATTTGTATATACAAATAAAATGTCAGTATCTTATTCATCATCAAAACTTTATTTTTGACACCATTTCTTATTTGATGAAAAGGTAAGTAGTGATGAAGTTTTTTTTGAACCAAATCAAGTGTTTTTTCTTCTTTTCTATATAAGAACCCATAAAACATATGATAGATCTACCTCCACTGCACTCTGTGAGAACAATGAAATAAACACATGTCCTTTGACAACTAGGCTCAGTTGCCACATTATACTTGGTAAAATGTTCACACTGCCTCATCACTGCATCTTCATTGCTTCCCCTTAACAACTTCCCTCTGTCCCACTCATCACTCCTATCCTTTCTTATCTGAATCAATCTCCATGACTGGATTTTAAAACCTCAGGAAGTCAAGGTACTCAACTACCATTTTATTCACCATTTTGTGGTAGAACAGCACCTGGGATAGAATAGATGCAAAATTAATGAGGTTAATGAATAAAATTTTTGGAATGTGTCTTGTAGTTTATTTGATAAAAAAGAAAAATTGGTGCAAGAGTTTTTGCATTTAATTTTAACACATGAGGACTTCAAAATGCAGTTTCAGAATTTTTAAAGATGAAACTTGTTTTCTTGTTTCTAACTCCTTTCTTGAACTTCTTAAAAAAGGAAGAAAAGTAATGTCCATATCCAGGAGGTACATCTCACAAGGACAGAGACACATTAATAGCTATGGAAGGATGAGGTCCCCCATTTATTCCCTCCACAAGTACTCTCCCAGAGAATAAGGTAGACTCACTCTAATATGCCTCCACCTGAAAAAGATTTGTACAGTAAAGAACATATTTTGGTTGCCAGAACACTTTCAGTTCTTGGTCTTCCCGGCAAGTCTACAAAATACATTATCAATTAATGTGTCTGTCTTGTTATTACACCTGAACCAACAAGAGTCAACAAGAAGCCACAGTTTTTAGTCTTAACTATGCTGGAATGCATTTGAAGTGGCAAAACAGAAGTGAAAAAGGATACATCTGAATAACAAACCATGGGTCATCCAGTTCTAACCACTGCCTATTTTTCATATTCCATTTATTAATGCATGCAGGGATTAGATCAATGACAAATTTTCAGTGGATTATTTTCATTTTATGAAAGATTACCATCCTGTCACTTTATGAAAAGGGAATTTGATATTTTCTACACCATCCCCATTAAAAAAATTGCAGTGACTAAAATAAATAAATAAATAAAAATAAACTTTCTTACCTAGGTTTACAAAGCCAATGTCAACATACAGTTTGGCACATAATGAGCCTAGCAGGAAGCCAAAGATCGGTCCTATAATTGCAACCGTCTGCACACACCCTGCACCCAAAAAAAAAAAAAAAGCGGCATTTCTCCGCTTTTGTAAATTAATAAATTTTAAACAAGAAATAGGAGTGAGATCCAGTTAGTAGCTGAAAATATCTCATCAACTCTTAAGTGTGCTTAATTTGTCAATTTTTCAACCTTATTGAATCAGGAAATAAGTCCTTCTCAGCTTTGGAAGAAGAATGAACACTTGGGAGGCATTAATTACCTCTTAGTAAGGAAATAACACCAAGATTCTGAAGAAGTTAATTTCCCCCAAATGGAGCAAACTTTACTCCTTAGGATTAGATTTGCCCTACTGATTAAAAAAAACAAAAAACAAAAAACAAAAAAATAGAATTATACTATTTTGACAGTCTTTCAAAAACTTCTTATGGTTGGTTAAGCATAAGAGTCATTTTGACATTAAAATTGATTTCTTCCACCTTAGAGCAAAAGTGCATGCATTCAGAGAGTCTGTGGGACCATGTGAGAGCAGTAGCTATGCAGATCCCTGAACACAGAGAGCCAAGGAGCTAGACCTGTGAATGCAAAGAGGTGCTCTTGGGAACAATCATGACCAGCCTGGGCAGCATTAAGAGGAATCTAGAGCAGACTGCTTAAACAACACTGCTTCTGGGTACCAGAAAGGTAGCTGTATGTCCCATCTGCCTTTCATTTCACCACAGAGCTTGATGCACACATATCCCTGGCAGATTAATTTAAATTAAGAGGAGGAATAAATGGCAGTTACCAGATCCTTTCTGGAAGAGAAGAGGGGGTGAAGAGAGAGGGCAGGAAGGGGACACCCTGACACCTGCATGCATCTCTTGGCTTGCAACCTTTCCTCTAGTCCCCAGAGTAACTGCCTAGCACATGTGATGGAGCTTCTGTTCCAGGTCCTGATTTACACTGCAGTTTTCCATCAGAGCAGGTAACCTGTTTTTAATCACAGCCTGCTTGACTGTAATGAGAGCCCTCTGGAGTTCTGTGCACATGGCCAGGGCAGAACTATACTGTGGAGCTAGTCCCAGCCCCTTTCAGTGAATTTAAATCTTGTCCTCTATCCCTTGAAGGCCAGGCCTTCAAAAGATCAGAGCCCCAAGAAATCAAGACTGATGTGTGAAATGGAGAAAAATTTATTTTCTAAGACTCAAGAGGTACTCCATAAATGCTACTTAGATGCATCTGGCCTTGAAGTTTGAGTTTGCTGTGGTGTGTGTGTGTGTATGATTTTAGCTGCTGGTCTATCTACTGGCATCTGTTCCAGACACAGATTAGCCTCAGGCCTTGCTCTCATCCTTTCTGTGTTTTTATCCATTCATACTTGCTATTGAGAACTGAGAATTCCTTGCCTACCCCGCACAGGAAGAAAATGCTTTAAATAGTCAGGGCTTAAAAAATGGGAAGTAGTTTCTAGGGCTCTGGAAACAAAATAAAGAATGAATATAAATGACACCTAAATGCTTCAGGAGTACAGTTAACCCAGTAAAAAGAACCTATGAAACCTGAAGTCCAGGAAGATATTTGCACAAAGTTATACATCATGGCAATTGATCTTCCAGTTATTTCCTTTTAATCTGATGTTCTTTCCCGAATGCAACTGGTCCTTCTAATTCAAGTTTCTTCATCCAAATCCTCAGTGTGGACCTCAGAAACATGTGAACTCAAAAAAGGAACTGGAACTGAAGGATAAAACCTTCCACGCTCTATTTAGTTTGGAATGGAGTTGAGAAAACCAGGTACCCTGCTTCCCAAGAAGATGAATGAGGTAGGCTTTACCAATATAGAAAGCAGAATTGTCTTCACTGGCAAAATCATCAAGGTAGGCAATGCCTAGAGGCTGAATAGGAGTTTCCCCAATTCCACGAAGAAGGTTCCCCAGGAAAACATAAACCCACATGGAAGAGCCGGCATCCATTTCACATTCTTGAAAGGAAAGCGAATAATAGGAATGAAATTAGATCAGTATCAAAGTTAAATATTTATTCTGCATTTCTACAAGCTGTCCTAAAATTGGATTAGGATGTAAAAGTGAAATTTTCAATAGACATAATTTGATAGGAGTCAGAGCAAGTTTGGAAAATATTTTGGCTTCAATGTTTTAGGCAATGTAAATACCCCAGAGATTTTGATCAAGGAACTCTTGATTCTTCTTTCTGATGCCTTGCTTATTTTCTCTTTTTTATTCTATATTTACACTGAATCCTTTGAATTTCTATGCTCCAATAACATTCAATATCCTGCCTGGGACAAAACACAAAATTTTGAATGAAGGATTTTCTCCCCTTAATCTTTAAACTTTTCAATTTTTCAACAGAAATCACTTGTAATTTTATTGCTGACCAAGTTTTATCTGAAATTCAAAATTTTATATGGGTGATACTTCAACTTTGGGCAGCATCACAATTGTTTGACAGTGAATAACCATTTTTAGGGCTCATGTTAAGGAACCTAACTTCACATAAAAATTTAAAACCCTATATGCTTTAGTAGTATAACTCTTCCAACAGAAAGAACCTTTCGGCAGTCTTCTTAGAATGAAATTCAAAGCTAACAATTTTTAAATGCTTTTGTAGAAGTCATGTCTTGATATAATCATGTGAAGCTGGAGAATTAACTCCCATATCACAAGTGAAATACACTTTGAAGAGTTTAATCACTTTAATAAAAATGATAATATTTTCTATCTCCAACAATCACCACTTCTGAATGCTCCCTTTCTGTCAGGCACTGGGCTAAGTGATTGGCAGGCATTTTTAAAATTAAATTCTCCTAATAATCCTATGAGGTAGGAGTTATTTCCACTTACTAGTAGCCCTTAAAGTAAAATTTGAAGGTAAAATATGGGTTATTTAGAACTGAGGTGAATTCGTTTGTGCAGATGAGTCAGACTGTGTGACAAAGTCTATTGTGTGTATAGTCTTGTTACTTCCTAACTCTGCCTCTTCTAGAAATGTAGCCAAGTGACCAAGCATTTTTTTTAATTTATCTTCTGTGGATTTCCATTCCACTCCCCACAAATATAATATTAATTCCTTTTCTAAAAAAAACCAAACAACCTAATTCTAATATCAATCCTACTCCTCTAACATTTCTGTGATCCCAAGAAGCTTGTTGGTAGGGAAGTCTTATAGATAGGGGAAGACATCTTAGATCTGTGCTTTCCAGTATAGTAGCCACACACCACATGTGGCTACTGAAATGTAAATTAAGGTTACAGAACATTAAAAATTCAGTTCCTCAGTCACACTAGCTATATTACAGTACTCAACAGTCACATGTGGCTAATGGCTGCTCTATCAGACAAACTAGATATAGAACATTTCCACCGTCGCAGAGAGTTCTGTTGGACAGCTCTGCTCTCCAGTGTTGTGGGGGGAATGGAAGTTGTACAGGGAGCATTTTTGAGAAGAGCCCTATATTTACCCCACTATCATTTTTAGGATGAACTTTGTATCCACTATGTCTGATGTCCACATAAGTCTATGACTTTAAGGGAGCAAGACCTCATTTAAAGAAAAAGATTGAGTTGTGAGTCTTATACTGTATACCTGTCTCATAACTTGTCTCTTCCCACTAAAAACATTTTAATTCCTGCCTCTAAACCCTACGTTTCTCTTCTTAATATTAAAGGTTTAAATATGTCCTAATTAGTTGTATTGCCATTTATATCACATCTTTTGTGATTATCAAAAACAAAAACAAAATATCTTCAAACCTCCTCCCTCTCCTTCCAGGGTGTTTTTCTGCTTCTTTTCATACAGCGGGATGGGGTAAACTTTTTACATGATTACATCTTCCCTACCTCCTCCCCTCATATTTCTAGATTTCCTTTAATCCTCTGGCCCTTCCCTTCATTCAAATAACCAGACTTCAAGTGTTCACTGCTCAGGGAAAAAGACATCTCAAAAGAAAGCACTGATGAGGATATTAGGGGAAATTAGTTTTATGATATAGGTAAAATATTTGCATGACTAACAGGTAGATCAAAGAGAAGCTTCCACACTGCCTATAAAGAAATCAATCCAGAGGCGAGGAGCAGGGAGTGAGGTGGGAGTGGTGAAGAGGAAGCGCAGAGCATGTCAATGCTGAAGGGCAGTAGAAAGGGCATTTGAGCTCCTGTCTCTATAGCATCCTGGAGACATGGCAGACACCTGTGGGTAGATGTGTGGACTCCATGAACAGGGAGAACCTGTGCCACCATGGCCAGGTAGAGCCCAGGAAGGTATCAAGACCCAAAAGCTGAGACGGTTGTACACTGTGGCCCTGCTTTTGACTCCTCAAAGGGTTTCCAGAGGATTCCCATGTTCCCAAGGGTGGCTCACACAATGCATTGATATGGAATATGGGTCAGCCATATGGAACTCTAGACATTCTAACAAAATTCCCTGCATCCTGTCTTGTGTGGAAAATAGAACTATTTCCAAGTTTCCAAGACTGTCACTTCTACATTAGAGAGAGTTGCTGTGCTAAAAAGGACAGGAAGGTAGACATAGGATGGTCTTAAAATGACATGTATGACCAAACACTGTGGCCAGAGGGATTTTAAATATCTAAGTTGACCAGGGACTGATAACACTAAGAGGCCCCTCCCACAACCACCCCCTTTGCTATGTAAGCTCCCCAGAATGTAAGCAACCCTTGGAGGAAAGGGTGAAGGTTAGGGACAAATTGAGATGAAATTTTTGTCATTCTGATGGAAAGGGGCTGGACACAGATTTTCAATTGAGATCTGGGGGAAAATTATATTTCATAGCTGAGCAATGGACTGAGATTTGTATGTGCCAAGCTAGTTTTATCCTGATTTGATGGCCCACCTTATTTGGAACCACTGGGAGCTTTTCTGTCACTGACAATTAATGCCCCTTTCCATAATATTTGAATCTCTGCATATTCTCTTAGGATCTCATCATATATTGCCTTATATTCTAGGAATTTTTATGGCACTATAATAACCCAATTTAAGTAGTAAAGCTTTTCACAGAAAAAAAAATCACAGAAATTTTTGTCCATCCTAAAGCACATATAAATTCTTTTTTAAAAGCTTTCTTAGTCAAGTAAAAAAAATCATCTTACCATCAGTCCTTTTGGATTGTGATTTTTCTATAATCGAGAGAGGTAATTGACTGTCTGACTCCAAAAGACATGGAGAGAGGCTGAGAGTGGAATTAGAGAAAGGAGAGTATTTTTCATATCTGTACCTGTACAAAAAGAATGTTTTCTTTACTACAGACTCATTTAACATCATGCTAAAAATATTATATGGACACTACATGACTCATTAGGGCACGTGTTTGAGTTTGCAGCTACCCCTGAATCTGAATCACTAAAACCAAACCAGCATTTAACAACAATGACCTGAAGGTCTAGACAGCCAGAAAGTCTGGCTCATTGTTATTTCCACTATCTGAACCAATTACCCAGTGTAGTAAAAGAAAATACAAGGGTTCATTTTAATGTAAAAATAATGACTCCAAATCACCTGCTCCCGATAAAAAATATCCAACACTTGATAAAATCATGATTATCTCTAAGTCAGCGGAAAAGAAATAATTGAAAACTATGGTCTTGCACACTGGATTTAGAGTTGTAAATTTAGTAGAACAACTGCATTGCTGATTCTAGAGAACTGATGATGATATGTGGGGTTTGGGGGCTTAAGTTTTTATTTAAATCCCAGTTAGTTAATATACAGTGTAATATTAGTTTCAGGTGTACAATATAGTGATTCTACACTTCCTGCAACACAAGGTGCTCATCACAAGTGAACTCCTTAATCCCATCACCTATTTAACCCATCCCCCCACCAACCTCCCCTCTGGTAACCATCAGTTTGTTCTCTAGAGTTAAGAGTCTGTTTCCCTCCCTCCCTCTCTCTCTCTCCCTTTTGGTCATTTGTTTTGCTTCTTAAAATTCCATGTGAGTGAAATCATATGGTATTTGTCTTTCTCTGGCTGACTTATTTCACTTAGCATAATACCCTCTAGCTCCATCCATGTCATTGCAAATGGCAAAATTTCATTCTTTTTGATAGAGTAATTTTCCAGAGTGTGTGTGTGTGTGTGTGTGTGTGTGTGTATACATACGGCACATCTTCCTTATCCATTCATCGTCAATGGACACTTGAGCTGTTTCCATTATTTGGCTACTGGAGATAGTGCTGCTATAAACATAGGGGTGCATTTATCCCTTTGAATCAGTATTTTTATATCCTTTGGGTAAATACCTAGTAGTGCAATTACTGAATCATAGCGTTGTTCTACGTTTTTTTTTAAGATTTTATTTATTTATTTGACAGAGAGAGAGAGAGCGAGAGAAGGAACACAAGCAGGGGGAGTGGGAGAGAGAGAAGCAGCCTTCCAGCTGAGCAGGGGGCCCGATGGAGGGCTCGATCCAGGACCCTGGGATCATGACCTGAGCTAAAGGCAGACACTTAACAACTGAGCCATACAGATGCCCCAGGGTTGTTCTATTTTTAACTTTTTGAGGAACCTCCATACTGTTTTTCACACAGTGGCTGTGCCAGTTTGCATTCCCACTAACAGTGCAAGAGGGTTCTCCCTTTCTCCACATCCTCACCAACACCTGTTTTTCTTGTTTTGTTGATTTTAGCCATTCTCACAGGTGTGAGATGATATCTCATTGTCGTTTTGATTTGTATTTCCCTGATGTTTAGTGATGTTGAGCATCTTTTCATGCATCTGTTGGCCATCTGTATGTCTTCTTTGGAAAAATGTTTATTCATGTCTTCTTCCCATTTTTAAATTGCATTCGTTTTTTAAGTGTTGGGTTTTATAAGTTCTTTATATATTTTGGATATTAACCCTTATCAGATGTCATTTACAAATATCGTCTCCCATTCCATGGGTTGCCTTTTAGTTCTGCTGATTGTTTCCTTCACTGTGAAGAAGCTTTCAATTTGCTAAAAACCCAATAGTTTATTTTTGCTTTTGTTTCCCTTGCTCCAGGAGACATATCTAGAAAGGAGATGGCTGATATTAAAGAGGTTACTACCTATGTTCTCCTCTAGGATTTTTCTGGTTTGTGGTCTCAAATTTAGGTCTTTCATCCATTTTGCGTTTATTTTTGTGTGTGGTGTAAGGAAGTGGTCCAGTTTTGTTTTGCATGTTGCTGTCTAGTTTTCCCAACACCATCTATTTGAAGATATTGTCTTTTTCCCATTGGATATTCTTTTCTGCTTTGCTGAAGATTAGTTGGCCATATAGTTGTGGGTTCATTTCTGGGTTTTCAATTCTGTTTCATTGGTCTGTATGTCCATTTTTGTGCTGGTACAATATTATCTTGATCACTATAGCTTTGTAATATAACTTGAAGTCCGGAACTGTGATGCCTCCAGCTTTGATTTTCTTTTTTCAAGGTTTTTTTTTTGGCTATTTGGGGTCTTTTGTGATCCCATATAAGTTTTAGGATTGTTTATTCTAGTTCTGTGAAAATTGCTTGTAGTATTTCGATAGGGATTGCATTAAATGTGTGGATTGCTTTGGGTAGTATAAACATTTTTAACAATATTTGTTCTTCCAATCTATGAGGATGGAATGTCTTTCGATTTCTTTGTGTCATCTTCAATTTCTTTCATCAGTGTTTTATAGTTTTTAGAGTACAGGTCTTCCACCTCTTTGGTTAGGTTTATTCCTAGGTATCTTACTGTTTTTGGTGCAATTGTACATGGGATTGATTCCTTAACTTCTCTTTATGCTACTTCATTATTAACAGAAATGAAACAGATTTCTGTACATTGATTTTGTATCCTGCCACTTTACTGAATTTATCAGTTCTAGCAATTGTTTTGTGGAGTCTTTCAGGTTTTCTATATGGAATATCATGTCATCTGCAAATAATGAAGTTTGACTTCTTCCTTGACGATTTGCCTGCCTTTTATTTTTTTTGTTGTTGTTGTCTGATTACTGTGGCTAGGAGTCCCAGTACCATATTGAATAAAAGTGGTGGGAAAAGATATCTCTGTCTTGTTCATGACCATAGAGGAAAAGCCCTCAGTTTTTCTCCACTGAGGATGATATTAGCTGTGGGTTTTACACAGATGGCCTTTACTATATTGAGATATGTTTCCTCTAACTCTTTGTTGAGAATTTTTAACATGAATGGATGTTGTACTTTGAAAAATGCTTTTTTTTACATCTACTGAAATAATCATATGGTTTTTATCCTTTTTTTTTAATTAATGTGGTGTATCACACTGATTGATTTCTGAATATTGAACCACCTTGAAACCCAGGAATAAATTCCACTTGATCGTGGTGAACAATTTTTTTAATGTATTGTTGGATTTGGTTTGCTAGTATTCTATTGAGAATTTTGGCATCCATGTTCATTAGGGATATTGGCCAGTAGTTCTCTGTTTTAGTGAAGTCTTTATCTGGTTTTGATATCGGGGTGATGGTGGCCTAATAGAATGGATTTGGAAGTTTTCCTTCCTTTTCTATTTTTTGGAATAGTTTGAGAAGAATAGGTATTAACTCTTCTTTAGATCTTCCTTAGAATTCCCCTGTGAAGCCAACCGGCCCTGGATTTTTATTCGTTTAGAGGTTTTTGACTACTGATTCAGTACCTCAGCTGGTCATAGGTCTATTCAAGTTTTCCATTTCTTTCTGTTTCAGCTTTGGTAATTTATGTTTCTAGGAATTTATCTACTTCTAGATTGTCCAATTTGTGGCATATAATTTTTCATAATATTCTCTTGTAACTGTTTATATTTCTGTGGTGTTGGTTGTTTCTTTTCTCTCTGTGATTTTTTTAAACAGATTTTATTTATTAGAGAGAGAGAGAGCGCGCGCAAGCGGGAGGGGAAGAAGGAGAGGGAGAAGCAGACTCCCCACTGACCAGGGAGCCTGATGCAGGGCTCAATCCTAGGACACTGAAATCATGACCTGAGCCAAAGGCAGACACAACCACTTAAGCAACTGAACCACATAGGCACCCCTCTCCTTTGTGATTTTATTTATTTGGGTCCTTTCTCTTTTCTTTTTCGATAAGTTTGGCTAGAGGTTTATTAATATTAATTTTTTCAAAGAACCAGCTCCTGGTTTTATCGATCTGTTTTTTTTTTAGAGTTTATATAATTTATTTCTGCTCTTTATTATTTTCCTCATTCTGCTGGCATTAGGGTTCATTTGTATTTCTTTTTCTAGCTCCTTTAGGTGTAAGGTTAGGTTGAGATATTTCTTGCTTCTTGAGGTAGGCCTCTATTGCTTTATACTTCCCTCTTAGAATACCTTTTGCCATATCCCAAAAGTTTTCGACCATTGTGTTTTCATTTTCATTTCTTTCAGTGTATTTTTTCATTTCCTTTTTGGTTTTCTGGTTGACCCATTCACTGTTTAGTAGTATGATGTTTAACCTCCAGGTACCTGTGGTCTTTCCAGATTTTTTCTTGTGGTTGACCTCTAGTTTCATATTGTTGTGGTCAAAAATGTTCATGGTATTATGAGCAACTCTATGCCAGCAAATCAGATAACCTGGAAGAAATGGGTGCATTCCTGGAGATGTATCAACTACCAAAACTGAACCAGGAAGAAATAGAAAACCTGAACAGACCTATAACCACTAAGGAAATTGAAGCAGTCATCAAAAATCTCCCAACAAATCAAAGCCCAGGGCCAGATGGCTTCCCAGGGGAATTCTACCAAACATTTAAAGAAGAATTAATATCTATTCTTCTGAAACTGTTCCAAAAACTAGAAATGGAAGGAAAACTTCCAAACTCATTTTATGAGGCCACCATTACCTTGATCCCCAAACCAGACAAAGACCCCATCCAAAAGGAGAATTATAGACCAACATCCTTGATGAACATGGATGCAAAAATTCTCACCAAAATAGTAGCCAAAAGGATCCAACAGTACATTAAAAGGATTATTCATCACGACCAAATGGGATTTATCCCTGGGCCGCAAGTTTGGTTCAACATCCGCAAATCAATCAATACATTAATGAAACAAAGAACAAGAACCATATGATCCTCTCAATAGATGCAGAAAAAGCATTTGACAAAGTACAGCATCCTTTCTTGATCAAAACTCTTCAGAGTATAGGGATAGAGGGTACATACCTCAATATCATAAAAACCATCTATGAAAAACCCACAGCGAATGTCATTCTCAATGGGGAAAAACTGAGAGCTTTCCCCCTAAGATCAGGAACGTGGCAGAGATGTCCATTAACA